CTGTGAAGAGGTTAACACAGTGGGTGGGACATATGTGAAGAGGTTAACACAGTGGGTGGGACATATGTGAAGAGGTTAACACAGTGGGTGGGACACCTGTGAAGAGGTTAACACAGTGGGTGGGACATATGTGAAGAGGTTAACACAGTGGGTGGGACACCTGTGAAGAGGTTAACACAGTGGGTGGGACACCTGTGAAGAGGTTAACACAGTGGGTGGGACACCTGTGAAGAGGTTAACACAGTGGGTGGGACATATGTGAAGAGGTTAACACAGTGGGTGGGACACCTGTGAAGAGGTTAACACAGTGGGTGGGACATATGTGAAGAGGTTAACACAGTGGGTGGGACACCTGTGAAGAGGTTAACACAGTGGGTGGGACACCTGTGAAGAGGCTAACACAGTGGGTGGGACATATGTGAAGAGGTTAACACAGTGGGTGGGACACCTGTGAAGAGGTTAACACAGTGGGTGGGACACCTGTGAAGAGGTTAACACAGTGGGTGGGACACCTGTGAAGAGGTTAACACAGTGGGTGGGACATATGTGAAGAGGTTAACACAGTGGGTGGGACATATGTGAAGAGGTTAACACAGTGGGTGGGACATATGTGAAGAGGTTAACACAGTGAGTGGGTGGGACACCTGTGAATAGGTTAACACAGTGGGTGGGACACCTGTGAAGAGGTTAACACAGTGGGTGGGACATATGTGAAGAGGTTAACACAGTGGGTGGGACATATGTGAAGAGGTTAACACAGTGGGTGGGACATATGTGAAGAGGTTAACACAGTGAGTGGGTGGGACACCTGTGAATAGGTTAACACAGTGGGTGGGACATATGTGAAGAGGTTAACACAGTGGGTGGGACACCTGTGAAGAGGTTAACACAGTGGGTGGGACACCTGTGAAGAGGTTAACACAGTGAGTGGGACATATGTGAAGAGGTTAACACAGTGGGTGGGACACCTGTGTAGAGGTTAACACAGTGGGTGGGACACCTGTGAAGAGGTTAACACAGTGGGTGGGACACCTGTGAATAGGTTAACACAGTGGGTGGGACATATGTGAAGAGGTTAACACAGTGGGTGGGACACCTGTGTAGAGGTTAACACAGTGGGTGGGACATATGTGAATAGGGTAGCAAAAGCTGATGTTATCTCGAAAAAAAAGATATTTGGGTACAAGAAGGTTGTTGGTGTAGTGGGCAGGACACCCATGAGCAGCGCAGTGGTCACGATTTTAACACAGTGGGTAGATGATAACACTCAGCAGGACACAATGCACAGATTGTCAACGAAGTGGGTGGGCTGTTAACACAGTGGGCAGGTCGCTAACATGGTGGAAAGGTTTTTAACATAGTGGGCAAATACAGTGGACAAGACACAGTCGGCGGGACACAGTGGGCGATACACTGTGGGCAGGACACAGTGGGCAGGACACAGTGGGCAGGACACAGTGGGCAGGACACGGTGGGCAGGACACGGTGGGCAGGACACAGTGGGTAGGACACGGTGGGCAGACACTTCTACCAGCCTCCTGAGACCAGCTACTGGCTGAGGAAATTACCACTGATATCCATAACCTGCAACACAACGTTACGTTCAAGTCTATCAGGTGGCGATTGAGATCTAAACTCATAACTATAATTATAAATTCATTCGAGGAGGTAAACCCATGTGGATCATTTAGGGCAAAGAATGGTATAGGTTTAATCCTCCCTCCGCTAATTGAGTTCAGTAGAAAGGGAAATGTATAATAAAATATGAATGTGTAAAACAAAAACGTTTAGTTATTCATTATGTAATATAAATTGATAACACTAGAGGAAATGCATTTATATATATATATATATAATATATATATATATATATATATATATATATATATATAATATATATATATATATATATATATATATATATATATTATATATATATTTATATTATTTTATTAACACACTGGCCGATTCCCACCAAGGCAGGGTGGCCCGAAAAAGAAAAACTTTCACCATCATTCACTCCATCACTGTCTTGCCAGAAGGGTGCTTTACACTACAGTTTTTAAACTGCAACATTAACACCCCTCCTTCAGAGTGCAGGCACTGTACTTCCCATCTCCAGGACTCAAGTCCGGCCTGCCGGTTTCCCTGAATCCCATCATAAATGTTACTTTGCTCACACTAGAACAGCACGTCAAGTATTAAAAACCATTTGTCTCCATTCACTCCTATCAAACACGCTCACGCATGCCCGCTGGAAGTCCAAGCCCCTCGCACACAAAACCTCCTTTACCCCCTCCCTCCAATCTTTCCTAGGCCGACCCCTACCCCGCCTTCCTTCCACTACAGACTGATACATTCTTGAAGTCATTCTGTTTTGCTCCATTCTCTCTACATGTCCGAACCACCTCAATAACCCTTCCTCAGCCCTCTGGACAACAGTTTTGGTAATCCCGCACCTCCTCCTAACTTCCAAACTACGAATTCTCTGCATTATATTCACACCACACATTGCCCTCAGACATGACATCTCCACTGCCTCCAGCCTTCTCCTCGCTGCAACATTCATCACCCATGCTTTACACCCATATAAGAGCGTTGGTAAAACTATACTCTCATACATTCCCCTCTTTGCCTCCAAGGACAAAGTTCTTTGTCTCCACAGACTCCTAAGTGCACCGCTTACCATTTTCCCCTCATCAATTCTATGATTCACCTCATCTTTCATAGACCCATCCGCTGACACGTCCACTCCCAAATATCTGAATACATTCACCTCCTCCATACTCTATCCCTCCAATCTGATATCCAATCTTTCATCACCTAATCTTTTTGTTAGCCTCATAACCTTACTCTTTCCTGTATTCACTTTTAATTTTCTTCTTTTACATATCCTTCCAAATTCATTCACCAACCTCTGCAACTTCTCTTCAGAATCTCCCAAGAGCACAGTGTCATCAGCAAAGAGCAACTGTGACAACTCCCACTTTATGTGTGATTCTTTATCTTTTAACTCCACGCCTCTTGCCAAGACCCTCACATTTACTTCTCTTTCAACCCCATCTATAAATATATTAAACAACCACGGTGACATCACACATCCTTGTCTAAGGCCTACTTTTACTGGGAAATAATCTCCCTCTTTCGTACATACTCTAACTTGAGCCTCTTATCCTCGTAAAAACTCTTCACTGCTTTCAGTAACCTATTTCCTATACCATACACCTGCAACATCTGCCACATTGCCCCCCTGTCCACCCTGTCATACGCCTTTTCCAAATCCATAAATGCCACAAAAACCTCTTTAGCCTTATCTAAATACTGTTCACTTATGTTTCACTGTAAACACCTGGTCCACACACCCCTACCTTTCCTAAAGCCTCCTTGTTCATCTGCTATCCTATTCTCCGTCTTACTCTTAATTCTTTCAATAATAACTCTACCATACACTTTACCAGGTATACTCAACAGACTTATCCCCTATAATTTTTGCACTCTCTTTTGTCCCCTTTGCCTTTATACAAAGGAACTATGCATGCTCTCTGCCAATCCCTAGGTACCTTACCCTCTTCCATACATTTATTAAATAATAGCACCAACCACTCCAAAACTATATCCCCACCTGCTTTTAACATTTCTATCTTTATCCCATCAATCCCAGCTGCCTTACCCCCTTTCATTTTATCTACTGCCTCACGAACTTCCCCCACACTCACAACTGGCTCTTCTTCACTCCTACAAGATGTTATTCCTCCTTGCCCTATACACGAAATCACAGCTTCCCTATCTTCATCAACATTTAACAGTTCCTCAAAATATTCCCTCCATCTTCCCAATACCTCTAACTCTCCATTTAATAACTCTCCTCTCCTATTTTTAACTGACAAATTCATTTGTTCTCTAGGCTTCCTTAACTTGTTAATCTCACTCCAAAACTTTTTATTATTTTCAAAAAAATTTGTTAATAACATCTCATCAACTCTCTCATTTGCTCTCTTTTTTACATTGCTTCACCACTCTCTTAAACTCTCTCTTTTTCTCCATATACTCTTCCCTCCTTGCATCACTTCTACTTTGTTAAAACTTCTCATATGCTAACTTTTTCTCCCTTACTACTCTCTTTACATCATCATTCCACCAATCGCTCCTCTTCCCTCCTGCACCCACTTTCCTGTAACCACAAACTTCTGCTGAACACTCTAACACTACATTTTTAAACCTACCCCATACATCTTCTACCCCATTGCCTATGCTCTCATTAGCATTTTACCGACCAAAATTGCAGTAGCCAAGTAAATTATCATAGATTGTATAGAGCAGAGGCGTCCGCTCTGCGGAGTGAGTGACCAGTTTAAAATTTTTAGCAATTTACTCGTATTTCTATGTGATTAGGTAGCAAAATTGGATTACTAGATCAATATGAACTAATCAGCTCCGTGCTGCTGCCCTTTTGTAACTGGAGTTTAATGTCATTAATTGCGTAACTCTAAGCCACAATTAGTCAACAAACTGGCATTTCACCAAGGTTATCATTGCAAAACCTTGCATGCTGCCAGCACACATGGATGTCTGGTCAAGTAGCTCACTACTGAAAAAGTTTGGACGCCTCTGGTACAGAGAGTAATATCTAGCATGCTAGTGGATGTTACTGGATTACTGTATCACATGTTATATCTTACCGCGATCACTCCCCACTACGAAGGTGGGTATCCCGTACACGCCACTGTAGACACCACCGTATGTGCCTGTGAATGGACACAAACACGAGATATAATAAACACGGATAAAAAAAGAGAGGATTTCCGAAAAAAAGAGATATAAAATTTCTGTTAAAGAAAAAGAGAATATTTACCATAACCAACACCACGGAATCTTCCTTGGCCACCACGCCTACGAGAGGGACCATAGCCACCATATCCACGGAAGCCGCCATAACCACGGGGTATGCCATAAACGCTGTAAATCCTACTAGCGTAAACAGCGGCCACCAGGAACAACAAAATTACTATAGACAAAACACGCTGAAACGAAACACTGCCCATTAACAACTTTTTCTAATAAATCATTCACGTCATCTCAAGAAACTGCAGAAAAATAAATCTTGAAATTATAGCAACGGGAGCTGAGCTTACCATTGCTGTGTGTGTGAGTTTGTGATGATTCAGAAGGTGAAGACTCAATGTTTGCAAAGAGAGGATTCCTGATACTTATATAAGAGGTGTGGCATCCCCAACCACTGAAGAGTCTCCACACAACCGACCACCAATGCAAGCTTCGTAGCCTGATCTGGAGGGACGGGGGAGGGGCGGTTCGAAGGAGGAGGACAGGGAAAACCATTCTTCCTGTGTTTAATGGTCTGAGACAAGTAAATGAGATGTGAATTTAAATGGTGGTCGTGAAAACCCAGTGGGAGTCGCCAGGGCTCTCGTGAAAATGTGGGGAAGACCCCGGTCTAGATCGCTATTCTCACATATAAAACAGTAAAATTTTTTGATCACATCATTAGTACATGATTGTTAATAATAATAATAATAATAATAATATAATAATAATTAATAATAATAATAATAATAATAATAATAATAAAATATTATTATTATTATTATTATTATTATTATTATTATTATTATTATTATTATTATTATTATTATTATTATTATTATTATTATTATTATTATTATTAGTAGTAGTAGTAGTAGTAGTAGTAGTAGTAGTAGTAATAGTAGTAGTAGTAGTGGTAGTAGTAGTAGTAGTAGTAGCAGTATTAACAGTAGGAGGTAGTAGTAGTAGTAGCAGCATTAACAGTAGGAGGTAGTAGTAGTAGTACTTGTAGTAGTAGTAGTAGTTGTAGTAGTAATAGTAATAGTAGTAGTATTTTTACTGAGATGCGTTAAACCAGTAGAGGTCACAAGGCGTATGGAAAATAGGAAGTAATCAGGTTAAATCCAAAAAAAGGGAAGGTAAGCTTTATCTGGTTGGATCAAGCATCCTTAACCAGCACCAACACATTATTAACTCAACTCTAATGTCGCATACGGAACCTTCTCTAATCATTCTTTAATTAGTAATCATTAGTTAGTAATTATTAGTAATCATTTCGTTCACGACTAACTGGTGGCAATCATCTTAAGTTTGAGTGATGGTGGTGTTGATACCTTTGATATGTCTGTGATCTGCTTCGAGAATTTTTCTGCTCTCTGTAGTACTCTAGTTTCCTCTTAAAAACTGTAACACATTCTCTGGCAGTATTTCCTATATTTGTACCAACCTAGTTGTACTCGCTTATTTGTACGCTGATATTTGTACTGGCTTATTTGTACGCTAATAGTTGTACTCGCTTATTTGTACGCTGATATTTGTACTGGCTTATTTGTACGCTAATAGTTGTACTGGCTTATTTGTACGCTAATAGTTGTACTGGCTTATTTGTGCGCTAATAGTTGTACTGGCTTATTTGTACGCTAATAGTTGTACTGGCTTATTTGTACGCTAATAGTTGTACTGGCTTATTTGTACGCTAATAGTTGTACTCGCTTGTTTGTACGCTAATAGTTATACTCACCTAACTATAAATACCTAGTTACACTCACCTCGTTGTAAAGTACTATAGCAATACAGTATAATAAAAATTATTTATGCAACCTTGAATGATATACGGAATTACGCTCTTACTTGCCCATTATATATTTGGGAAGTGTAGTGAATAAAGAGACTCTAACACTTGGGCTGTACGACCAACACGGGTTTAGCGCTTTACATAATTTTTATTGAGCATGTCTTTCCAATCTGGATATTCAGTGGAATTCATGTATGCACAACGATGCTCAACTCTTGCAAAAAAAAAAAAAAATACTGACGTCTGCTGTCGTATGTGTGTTTGATGCTTGACAGTGTCTGACAGTGTCTCACCCTTGACAAGTGACTAACACGTGTTGCCATGCCAGTGAGTTGAGCACGAGGTGATTCTGGAACAATGGAGGCTGAGAGTTGTTGTCAGCACCAGACAAGGTTAGGTCTTCCCCAAGTGCTGCTATCAGCACTAGACAAGTTTGGACCTTCCCCAAGTGCTGCTGTCAGGACCAGACAAGGTCAAGCCTTCTCCAGGTGATGATGTCAGAACTAGACAAGGTCGGGCCTTTCTTAAAGAGATTATCGGTGTTATTCAAAGACATAGATTTTTTTGTAACGAAATTATATGTAACTGCATCGTGCGACTACTATGACCCCGTTAAACTCGTCGTTAATTACTCTCCACGAATAAACAGAGGACCATGATTTGATCTGCGTGAAAGAGGGAGATTATCTTCCAGTAAAAGTAGGCCTTCGGCATATTTATAAAAGGGAGTTGTAAAAGAAATGAATGTTAAGGGCAGCTGAGAGGTTTTAACCAATTTTTCCGCGGTATTGTTGACTTACAAATGTATCTGAGGATACATTTGAAAGTCATGTTCCGATACCCTACTGAGGTATCGGAACATTATCCTTAGGTTTGCCAGGCGCCCGTATACTGCAGCAGTTATCTGATTGATGTGCGCCTCAGGAGATGTGCTCGGCATTATATTCACCCCAAGATCTTTTTCCTTGAGTGAGGTTTGCAGTCTTTGGCCACCTAGACCATACTCTGTCTGCGGTCTTCTTTGCCCTTCCCCGATCTTCATGACTTTGCATCTGACAGGGTTAAATTCAAGGAGCCAGTTGCTGGGCCAGGCTTGTAGCCTGTCCAGGTCTCTCTGAAGTCCTGCCTGATCCTCGACCAATTTGATTCTCCTCATTAGCTTACATCATCTGCAAATAAGGACACTTCTGAATCTATCCCTTCCGATTATGTCATTCACGTATACCAAAAACAGCACTGGTCCTAGGACTGACCCCTGTGGAACCCCGCTTGTCACAGGCGCCCACTCTGACACCTCGTCACGTACCATGACTCGTTGCCTCTCTGTCAGGTATTCTCTGATCCATTGCAGTGCCTTTCCTGTTATGTGTGCCTGTTACTTTAGCTTTTGCATTAACCTCTTGTGAGGAACTGTGTCGATGGCCTTCTTGCAGTCCAAGAAAATGCAGTCTATCTACCCCTCTCTCTCTTGTCTTTCTTCTGTCACCTTGTCATAAAACTTCAGCAGGTTTGTGACACAGAATTTTCCTTCCCTGAAACAGTGCTGGTTGTCAATTATTTGCTTGTTTCTTTCCAGGTGTGCCACCACTCTCCTCCTGATGATCCTCTCCATGACTTTGCATACTATACACGTTAGTGACACAGGTCTGAAGTTTAATGCCTCGTGTCTGTCTTCTTTTTTTAAAAATTGGGACTACATTTGTCATCTTCCATACCTCAGGCAGTTGCCCAGTTTCAATGGATGTGTTGAAGGTCTTTGTTAGTGGCACACACAACATCTCTGCTCCCTCTCTAAGGACCCATGGAGAGACGTTGTCTGGTCCTACCGCCTTTGAGGTATCAAGCTCACATAGCAGCTTCTTCACCTCCTCCTCGGTTATGTGTACCTCATCCAGCACTTGTTGGTGTACCTCTCTGTTCTGAATTCCTGGAGTCCTACCTGTTTCCACTGTAAATACTTCTTTAAATCTCTTGTTGAGCTCCTCACATGCCTCTTGGCCTGATTACCTGGTCCTTGACTGTTGTTTTCCTCCTGATGTGGCTATACAACAGCTTCGGGCCAGACTTGACTTTCGATGCTATGTCATTTTCATATTGTCGCTGAGCCTCCCTTCTTATCTGTGCATATTTGTTTCTGGCTCTTCGGCCGATCTCTTTATTTTCCTGGGTCCTTTGTCTTCTGTACCTTTTCCATTCTCTAGTGCACCTAGTTTTTGCCTCCCTACACCTTTGGGTGAATCAAAAACTCCTTCTGGTCTTCCCATTATTTCTGTTTCCCTTGGGAACAAACCTCTCCTCTACCTCCTTGTATTTTGTTGTCACATAGTCCATCATTTCTTTTACTGGGTTTCCTGCCTGTTCTCTCTCCACTGAACATCTTGCAGGAAGTTCCTCATGCCTGTGTAGTCCCCCCTTTTGTAGTTTGGTTTTTCTCAACCTATTCCTGCTACTCTCTTCACTTGGAGCTCAACTATGTAATCAAAGCACAGAACCACACGATCACTAGCTCTAAGGGGCCTTTCATACGCGATATCCTCTAAGTCTGAACTACTCAAGGTGAATACAAGGTCCAGTCTTGCTGGATCATCCTCACCTCTCTCTCTGGTAGTGTCTCGAACATGTTGATGCATGAGGCTTTCCAGTACTACATCCATCATCTTGGCTCTCCATGTTTCAGGACCCCCCATGGAGCTCCAAGTTTTCCCAGTCAATCTCCTTGTGATTGAAATCACCCATAACTAGTAACTTTGCTTCTTCCATGTGAGCTCTTCTGGCCACCTTTGCTAGTGTGACAGCCACTGCTCTGTTTCACTCGTCGTATTCTTCTCTTGGCCTTCTGTAGTCTGCGGCGGGTTGTACAATACTGTAATTACCACCTTATGGCCCTCAGACTGGATTGTTCCTACTAAGTAGTCCCTTTTGCACATTCCATCCATTCGTTCCATTTCCTCAATTCCCACTGGTTTTTAATAAGTAGTGCAACTCCTCCTCCTCCTCACCTCCCTCCATCTTTCCTGAGGATTTGATATCCGGGTGGAAAGATCGTGTCTATTATCCTGGTGAGTTTCATTTCTGTGAGTGTTATTATGTCTGTGGATGTCTTTGTGATTCTTTCATGCCACTCCTGACACTTATTTGTTATTCAGTCTGCATTTGTATACCAAACCTTCAACTTCTTTTCTAGAACTGTGGTCTGGGGGGTATGTCAGGGTTGGGGAAATGGGAGACCTGATAAAGAACTATGGGTGGTTGCTGTGAGGGTGAAGTTTGTAATGAGGTGGATGGGGGCATTGGATATGGCATGTGTGTTTGGGTTAGAATGTTTGGTTGCATTGAGATTTTCCTGGTTGGGGGCTTCTGTAGGTGGATGTGAGGGAGGCTATA